GTCAGTGGCCTGAGGGAGAGAGCCTAACCACGGCTTTCTGGCAACACTTGAGTATTAGGTTAGGGGTAGATGCTACCTGAGTCCACTCCCGGACTTATGCAAGTCACTTTACCTCCATCCAGTTTCAAGTGTCAAATGAGGAAGATGATAGTGATGATCATGACGTATCTCGGAGTAGTTGGAAGAAGGTTCTTTAGTGATTTGAGCCCGGGTATCTAAAAGGAAGATATTTATGTCTCCTCATGCTGGAGAATAGCAGCCCAAGAAAAAACAGAACAGTATTTGGACATGGAATGCTTGTAGCCAGTTGAAAAGCAAAAAATATTAAATATGCTAGCTGTACAACCTGTGTTAGAGAAAATGCAGGTGACTAAGTAATGTTTAAGCTGGTGGCTCGGCAGTTAAAGGCTTTAGCTCATTCTCCAGGACCCACGTGGTGAAAGAGATCCTCAGGAATGCAAAGCTAAGCGCATAAACACGTGCACATCCTAACCCACCAAATACGTGAATAAATAGGTTTTTGTTGTTGTTGTTTTTACAGCTGTAACATTTGATGTTTAGAAAACCTCATGGGTATTGGGGGGGAGGGTAGCTAGAATATATTTGTGGTGAAGAGTTAACAATCAGGCCTGAGGCTTCTGTGTTTTGTCGGGTCTGCCTGCAACCTTGCCCCAGTTTGGCAATGAGCTCAGGAGAACCCATTAGAGACTTGGAGCATACACTGCTTGTTCTTGTGAGCATGCCTGCCCACTGCAGAGGGAGAGAGCTTATGGAAGTTATGGAAAAGTGCCCCTGTACCTTCTAACCAGGTTGTATGTTCATTCAAATGTTCTGTCCATGAGTACAACCTACAACCGTGTGCTGACTCCTCAGTGCCAGGAGAGTCTTGGAGTTCCAGACACAGTTTTGATAATGGAAAGTTAGTGGATGCAGGATTGTAAATGTAGAGTTAGAAAGAGCCTCATTAGAAAGATGGCCTCATTGTGGGGAGATAGGAGAGTTGAAGGTTAAGGAGATTGAAAAGGGTTTGAAGAAATGGCTGAGTATAAAATGCACAGAAGTTGTCCAGAGAGAGGTGTGGAGGATAAGGGTAGGCCCAGGATGCTTTCTTTCTTTCTTTCTTTCTTTCTTTCTTCTTTTTTCTTTCTTTCTATCTGTTATGCATACAGTGTTCTGTCTGATCCACCACGTGGTTGCTGGAAATTGAACTCAGGACCTCTGGAAGAGAAATCAGTGCTCTTAACCTCTGAGCCATCTCTCCAGCCCCCAGGATGCTTTCTTTTAAGACTTTCTGAATACATGAGAAAGTGACTGCTTTGTGTTCATCTAAAATTGACTTCTGCTAAATGGGTGATGTAGTGTTTGTTTACTTACCCGAAGTTAAATATGATCATCTTCTTTTCTTTAGTCAGGCAGGGCTTTAAGAACCAGCTCTGTATTGGAAGCTTTCCTTCTTACCTCATTGTGTTGTAGGTATAATGAAGGGACCGGCTTCCCTTTTGCCAGCCATTATGGCCGAACATGTGCTTCTATGACCTTGAACTAGACACTAGAAAGTCAGATGCCTGTCTCGTGACAGGGAGCCAATCAGAGGTTAGCTGG